ACTTCTCTCCCTCCCTCTCCTCTCGCTTTTCTCCTTCCCTTTCTCTCTCCCTCCCTTTCTCTCCCTCCCTCTTCTCTCCCTCTCCCTTCCTTTCTCTTCCTCCCTTACTTCTCTCCCTCCCTCTCCTCTTTTCTCCTTCCCTTTCTCTCCCTCCCTCTCTTCTCCCTCCCCCTTCCTTTCTTTCTCTCTCCCTCCCTTCTCTCCCTCCCTCCTTTTTCTCCCTCCCCTCCCTTTCTCTCCCTCCATCTTTCTCTCCCTCCCTCCGTCTCTCCCCTCCCTCCCTTTCTCCCTCCCTCCCTCCCTCTCCCTCCCCCTGTCCCCCCCCCTTCCTCCTGCTCTGGTATTCAGCACCAGGCTGCACACAAGGCCCCCGCCGGCTCCTTTACAAGTTTGATAGTCCATAAGAAGCATTACGGTTACCCCGGAGAATCCCAACCCTTGGAGCGGTCCCCCAAATCAGCTGACGTTGCCGCTGGTGCATGAAGGGGCCGCCGTCCAATGAATTAACCGGACCCTCCTTGGTAAGGGCACTTGGGGCGGATTGGGGGGCGGGGAGCCCACAAGCACGAACAAAAATGCTGGCATATCTCTGCCTCCCCCAATTCTGTTTTAAGAGAAGCCATTTCGAATGCTTGATTTGGATTTTTTTTTCCTACAAAGCCAGGTGCTACTCCAAGAGTCTGGGGTCTCTTCTTACTGAAAAAAGTTGTGTGTGTGTGTGTGTGTGTGTGTGTGTGTGTGTGTGCAAATGGCCTCTTACCTCACTGCATCCTTTAAGCGGCTGATTCGCCATCTAGTGGTGACCGAGCGGCCCCTCTGCACTTCAGACGTTTTGGATAAGAGATACAGTACAGCGAGGGGGGGGTTGTGTCATCTAGTCCAACCCCCACCTACCCAAGCGGGAGACTCTACACCATTTCTGATAAATGGCAGTCCAGTCTCTCCTTGAAAGCCTCCAGGGATGAAGCTCCCACAGGCAACTTCTGTTCCACGGGTTGCTTGTTTTCACTGTCAGAAAATTCCTCCTTATTTCCAGGTTGAATCTCTCCTTCTTCAGTTTCCATCCGTTATTCCTTGTCTGGCCTTCAGGTGCTTTGGAGAATAGCTTGACCCCCCTCCTCCTCTCTGGGGCAGCTCTTCAAATATTGGGACACTGCTCTCCTGTCTCCCCTGGTCCTTCTCTTCCCTAGACCAGCCAAGCCCAGGTCCTGCAACCGTTTTTCATATGCTTTAGTCTCCAGCCCCGTCATCGTCCTGGTCAACTCAACAATCCTCATTAACTATTCTTGTCAAGTAACGCCCAGAATTAATGTAGACCTTCCCTTGTAGAGGTCAAACCAGCAGCCCCACACAACAACGCCGTACTTCCCGTGAAGTGGAGTAGATTAGCACACTCGCCGGCTGCTCCCAGGAAGAAATAACGACATACAATTTCACGTCCGCTCGTCTTGGCATAATGGCCGTCTCACAAGAGTCAAGGAGGGAGAAGGGGAGAATCTCTTTGAAATCAAGTCAGGTGCTCCTTCTCTTCCTCTCTCTTTCTTTTTCTCCTGCCAAGGTGGGCGAGTGATTGCACCGCGACCCGATTAGGAAGGCAAGAAAGCTCAACTCACATATCAGAATAATGGAGTCGGAAGAAACCCGACGCCATTTCAGACAGATCATTCTCCAATCTCTTCTCAAAACCCTCCAGTGTTGGAGCATCCACAGCTTCTGTGTTTTTTTGGCCTCCGGTCTCCTAATCCTCTTCGATGTTCTTCTCTGCTCTCTTTCTAGAGCCTCAACGTGTTTTTTACCTCGTGATGACCAAAACTGGATGCAGGATTCCAAGTGTGGCCGTACCAAGGCCTCATAAAGTGGTATCAAGACTTCACTCAATCTTGATTCTATCCCTCTTGTTTATTCAGACTAGAACCGTGTTGGCTTTTTTGGCAGCTGCAGCACGCGGCTGGCTCATATTTAAGCGATTGCCCACTAGGAGGTGGACATATTTGAAAGCAAACCTTGGCCTGAAGCCTGCAATCTATCCGTACCCATTATGCGCAACATGAAACGCTCAGAAACAAGATCCCCAAGTACTCAAATCCCAAGGGAAGCAGCCGGACTGGGTCTGTGGGACGACCCTACCGCAAGCAACGCCTTCTCCCTAATTTTTCAATAGGCTCCTCTTGAAAGTGACAATTCCTACCCGGATAAGGAATTGGTTCCTAGAATTGCCAGCGCAATTTTAGAAACAGAGGAAAGCCACTTTAATCCAGGCACTCTTCCAAGCGCTTTATTAACTTTGATATGTATTTTTATGACCTTCTCTCTCTCTCTGGCTGCTCTACCCCACTTTTAATCCTCTTTGTTGCAAAAAAGAAGCACAGCTCCAACCCGAGACTGGGAGTGGGGGTGGAGGGCTGGGCACATAAACCCTCTCTGGACCATCTGCCGGCATCCTAAGGGCCTGTCATCTTCCTGACGGAAGCGCTCAGGGCTCCCATTCCGTTCAGCTCCCGCAGCCGGCTGGTGTGCCTGCAAAGATGGCAGAGAGACAGCAAAACCAGGTCAGAGATGCCGGTGGGACAGAGCTGAAGGCAGCAGCTTCAAAAGAAAGCTCTGCGTAGATTTGTCGGCAGGCAGAATAGGGTGGCGGACATCGCTACACCTTCCATCCCAGAAGTATCGATGAAGGACAACATGGGGCATATTTCAGACTTCATTTCCCCCCAAAGTTTGGTGACTTCATGTTCTCAGAAGCGTTGCGGTGGAGCCTGCCCTCATTTAGGCAGAACTTCACTTTGGATGGGTGTCCTTAGAGTGTGTTAAAGGGCCTCCATCCTTCTGCATGTGAGGAAATCTATCTCAATTCAAGCAGGGGGCCAAAGTTAAATGCCGGTGGTGAGACTAAATACCTTGCCCAGTATCCACTGGCTTGGAGGGTGGAAGGGCTACCAGGTTGAAGTCAGGGGCTGAGTGGGAATTCAACCGGTGTTACTACCAGTTGGGTGACTACGTTTTGCGCGCGCATGCTGTGCATGTAAAAAACCTTAAGCTGTGCCACCATGACAGCTGAAAAGCACTTCACGTGGGTGCGCAGCATTTGAAAAGCCACTTTTTTTTCCTGCTTTTTCAAGCTCGGCTGTGCCGCACAAAACAGCTGAGGTTGAAAAAGCAGGAAATAAAGGACAGGTAAGAGCCCAGGCAGGCGGGTGGGCCAAACAGCAGCAAACACAGAACCGGTTCAGGGTCTGCTGCTCTTCAGAGCTACCGGTTCTATAGAACCAGGCAGAACCGATAACATCCCATCTCTGATCAGTTCTGCAGAACCGGTAGCAGAAGTTTGGAGTAGTTCCAAGAGAACCGGCCAATCCCACCTCTGACTGGCCCCGCCAACCCCATCTCTTCTCTGCCTCCCATTGAGTCCCAGCTGATCGGCTGGGTCTCCTTTGGTTGCCCTGCCCAGGAGAACGGAGCTGGAAAGCAGGTTAGTGGGGTGGGGAGCAGAGATGGTATTCAGCCGGTTCTGACTAGTTCTGGAGAACTGGTAGTGGAAATTTTGAGTAGTTCCAAGAGAACCGGCCAATCCCACGTCCGACTGGCCCTGCCAACCCCATCTCTTCTCTGTCTCTCCTTTGGTTGCCTTGCACAGGAGAATGGAGCTGGAGAGCAGGTTAGTGGGGTGGGGAGGGGAGGGGGATTTTGTAGGATCTTTCCCCTGCCACGCCCACCAAGCCACGCCCACACAACCGCTAGTAAATCCCACCACTGGCTTGAATCCATCAGTGAAGGTTCTCAGAAACCCAAGGGGATCGGGACAAGTCCTGGCCAGCCCTCTCAGGAAAACGACTTGCCTGGCGTCCGCGGTGCAGAGCTTCCCTAAAGCTATGGCGGCGTTCTCTTGCACGTAAGGCCTTTGCGCATTGCGAGTGGTGGCTCTCAGGAGGATCCTGACCACCTCCGTGTCGAGCAGGGTCGTGGCTGCTCCAGGCACCTCCAGACATTTCCCCAGGCAGAAAGCAGCATTCCCTGCCACGACCTCATCCGGCCAGGACAGAAGCTTCAGCAACAGGCGGCATTCTGGGGAAGAGACCGAAAGGGGCCCAAAGAAGACGGTCCGGGGAAGAGCCAAAGCTATAACGGGAGGCTATTTTCCTCCGTGCCCAAGGGATTTGTGGGGAAAGGCAAGAGGGAAGGAGGAACGGCTCAATTCTCGAGATGGGGAGGGAGGAGAAGGAGGCCATGCCAATTAAACTCTCCGCCCTGGGAAAGAAGGCCTTGGAACAAACCGACAAAGAGGTCCACGGCCTCCAGAAGCACCCCGAGGAATGAGGTGGCAGGGTGATTTGAGGAGGCCAGGAAGCCATCTCGCACCAGGACCAAAAAGGAGTAAAGGTTTTGGCTGGAGGACAGAGGCACTGCAGCTTTCGAGAAAGGGACCTCTTGTTCGCTTATTCGTGTCAGAAGCATCACAGTTAAAATAAGGCACGCTCTACAACGTGACCTTTAACATATAAAAACACAAGATCATAATAGGTGCAACTTAAACCACCTTGCCCAGAAACTAGCAACAATAATTGCATTCTCTTGGGCTACCAGGATGTCCGGAAGCGTACACCAATGGGGACACAAAGGGCAGGTACACACATGTGTTGTTTTCTGCATGCCAGCACAACTGCAAAGGGCAGAAGAAACCACTGGACAGCCCCATGTGTTCAGGGTGTCTCTGGAGTGTCGATGACAATTCGCCCAATGGCCAACTCAACAAGGGGCAACTTGCTGCAGGACAAGAATTAGGTTTAATATCAAAGAAAGGGTGGAATAGAATCATTAAAGAAAGGATGCAAAAGGCAGGACAGAATGAAATGTGAATGGCAAAAATTAAAATAATCCCTGCTACAAAGGCGAATAGCCAGCGCTGTCCGAAGACGCCTCCGTGGTCATGTGGCCAGCAGGACTAAATGCCTTCAAAGGTGCAGAGAACGCTCTTCCCTTCCCACCAAAGTATTTTCCTACTTGCATTTTTTACATGCTTTCGAACGACTAGGTTGGCAGAAGTTGGGACAAGTAACAGGAGCTCACTCCGTTAGGCGGCACTGGGGATTCGAACCGCCAAACTGCCGACCTTTCTGATCGATCAGCTCAGCGTCTTAGCCCCTGAGCCACCACGTCCCTAGTTTTTAAGAGAGAGAGAGACATAATCCAGAGGACATCGTATTTCTCGGCTTCTGTGCTGGTTGCCTTAGGTTTGTGTTTCTCAACCTTACCAACTTCCGGGAGATGGGTAGGCTTCAACTCCCAGAATTCCCCAGCCCACCGTGCTGGCTGGGGAGGTTCTGGGAGTTGAAGTCCAGCCCCTCTGAAAGTCGCCAAGTTTGTTTTTTTTTTAAAAAAAACCCCACTGTCCTAGTCTGAGCAAAAGGCAATCGCGCTTACTTTTATCCAGTTTCACAATCTGCATCGGAGCCAGCCGGCTACTCTTGGCACAAGCTGCAAGGACCTTCATGGCATAATTGGTCGTGGTTTGCCCGCCAGCCTAGATCGAAGACAGGGAAAGACCCCTCCCATCAAAAAACAGAGACCTGCTTCCAGAAACCCTTTATGCTGTAAAAACAAGAACAGGGGACGACTTCGCAGCCTGGGTGGCTTGAAGATGTGTGGACTTCAACTCCCAGAATTCCCCAGCCAGTCTTGGAGTTCTTTGAGAAGTTTGCAAAACCCCGGATTAAGGGCTTAATGAGACAGCGATGGAATCCTTCAGGAAGGAGCTATCTGTACTTAGCAGCGTTTGGACCCAAACCTCCTCCCTCCTCCCACTGCAAAACCAGCGGCATCACGTCTCTCCTCTCCCCAGGGACCCCAAAAGCATCTATTTCACATTTTCTCTTCCTTTCCACCCCATATTTTCTCTTCCAGCGTTCTGCCTCGGGCAGTGTGTGAATCTGGAATCAAGGTGGCCTTTTCTTCTGCCGCCGTTCGCATCTTATCGCCTGGGTATCTGCTCGGCCTTCCCACTCTGACCCCTTCCCACTCTGACCACCCATCAATCTCGGTTTCTTTGGAGAAAAAAAAGGAAACCGCTGAGGAAGGAAAACCTCTTCCACAGCCAAGAGCGCATTAAAGATGCAGGGAACAGAACGGGCCGCTTCGTTCTGCACCGCTGGCTCGCAGAGTTCGTCACCGTGAGCTGATTGAGGGCTCAGGGGACGGCAGAGTCTCTGAGGAGAAGGTCATCCCTGCCCCAAGGCAGAGAGGGAAACAGGGCTCACGACACTGGCAGAACATACCCCCTGGCACCTCCAGCCGAAAGGCTGCTGGGAGGAGAAGATGGCAAGGAACGTTTTGGAAGCTGCTACTGATCGCCAGATACATTACAGGTTCTTCTGTTTTGACCAAGACAACGAGAGAAACTGTAACAGCCACTGTGTAGGACAGGGGTCCCCAAACTTGGCAACTTGAAGCATAGCTGGCTGAGGAATTCTGAGAGTGGAAGTCCACAAGTCTTAAAGTTGCCAAGTTTGGAGACCTCTGGTGTAGGACAAACAGGTAGAAGAAGACTGGTGGAGTGTATCTATGAATCGCCAACTAGCGGTCAGAAGATTGCTCAGCACACGGAGGGCCCGAGAAATAGTTTTAATCGCAAAACTGTGAACATCCTAGACTAAGCCAAGTCCAAAAACACTATAGAGAACTTCTGGAAGTTGGGCAGTCAGACAAAACAGCCATCAACCGACACACAGAGATAAAGAACATCTACATACCATTTAAAAGAGATAACAACAACAACAAAAGAAACAAAAAGACCAAAACACTTCATTGGCAATCAACAGCCACATGAGCAGAGGTTAATACCAAGACTAATAGTTAGGCCAACAATCAAGCAATAAACAACAAGTGAATCAAGGAACTATCAAGAAGAAAATAACTCCTCATACTGACCGGGCGAACACTGAATATAAACAGAAGGTAATCCTTCTCCCTTCTAGCAGTGATGGCATTCCCTAGTTGGGTCATGAAACATCTGAAAGGAAATAACTAGCTGTTCTCCTCTTCCACTCTGCAAACTCCCCCTCCCTTCTAGCACTGATGATGTTCCCTAGTTGGGTCATGAAATATTTCAAAGAAACAACCCAACTCAGAGAGCACCAAGGACCCCATTGAAAGACTCATCCAGATGCTCCTATTGTTTGATTTGCAGAATTTAGATGAAAGGAGGAACACTGCAGAACAGCTAAAATCTGCAACGTGCAACTAACCCCAGGGAAGGTGGAAAACAAGACCATTGGGCCTTCATGCTCTATCTGTCTGGCATGGCGCATGGCGGAGTTGTCCGCTCACGCATCGGACAGGAGCATTTCAAGGCCACTGGGATGGAAACAATGGCTCCAAAATAGGCAGTAGCCGCTGGAAATGGCAAATTACCTTCAGAAACCGGATCATTTTCCTCACCACGTCTCGTCTCACAGCTTCTTCCAGAGCCCCTAGACTCGCCGGCAGGATGTGACTCAAAAGCCCCACAGCTCTCTTAAAGGAAAATAAAAAAGAAATGGGGCACCACAGGGAAAGGGTTCGGGGTGCACGTTCCTCCAAAGGAGTTGTCAGCTCTGTTTATGTCTGGTTCCTGGGCTGGCTGGCCACGTCCACGGCAGAGGAACACAGCCAGGTCTCTGCAATCTTGCTTTCTCCGGGGTCGAAGGAACAGGGAGCCCATCATGGGAGCCTAAGACCTAGGGTGTTCCAGTATTTGAGGGGCTGCCCCAAAGAAGAGGGAGTCAAGCTATTCTCCAAAGCACCCAGAAGGCAGGACAAGAAGCAACAGGTGGAAACTAACCAAGGAGAGAAGCAACTTAGAACTAAGGAGAAATTTCCTGACAGTTAGAACAATAAATCGGTGGAACAGAAGTTGCCTTTAGAAGTTGTGGCTGCTCCATCTCTTTGAAGAAGAGACCGCACAGCCATTTGTGTGAATTGGTATAGGCTATACTCCTGCTTGAGTAGGGGCTGGGCTAGAAGATCTCCAAGATCCCTTCCAACTCTCTTATGTCCTTCTAACACTCACGGAGATGATCCTCCCGTCTGGGCTGTTGAAGAGAGACATGCACGTGTCACAGATTTCCTCCGCCAGTTCCTGAAAACAACCGTCAGAATTAGAATCGCCAGCGTGCAAGAACGGAAGGGCAGCTTCACCGAGGCCTTTGGAGGGCAAACCCAAAACCAGTGGCCTTCCTTGGCCAGGAGGAGGCAAGAAGACCATGCTGGGCTGAGACCTACTCAGACCCAGAAGCTTGGGGGGGCAGAAGCTTGACCCAACCCCTCGCTATTTCACAGCCCATCTTAGCTCACAGGGATGTGATGTAGATGAAGGGACAATGTGTGACTCCCTGAACCCCACCGGACCCATCCAGGCCACAGAGGGGAAAAGCTCAAAAGAGCCTTCCCAAGGATTTGTCCCGGAGAAGAAGTTGACCTGAGGAGAATTTCAGATGTCCTGAGACCTCAAAGAGAGGCGGGTTTGTAAATCACCTCGATGACTGAGTTGGGTTCCAGGGAGAGGTTCATCATGAGGCCCAGGACCGCATACAAACACTCAGGATACCTGGTGATGCTGTTTTCGGTCCAGCACTGATTCTACAGGAGCAGAAAACAAAACCTTGTTAGAAAACCAGCCAGGATCCAGGATGGATTGGCTCCTCTTTGCTCTCCAATCCCTTTCTACATTTCCTGTGTCTGGATCCCTTGGTAGCATCTCCTGATCAAAGACACCTCACCAAGAAGGTTCTCTCCCAGGGAAGGCCAAGGTCCTTAGGGTAAAGCAACAGCCGTAGGTGCTGGCGTCTCCAGCTAGACCTGGATTTGGGTCCCTTCCTTGGTGTCAGGCTCGCCCCAGCCTGATCTCTCAGGAAATAAAGACCCTCGACTCCATCCGGTTGAAGGGATAGGTTCTTGTACTGAAAGAGGTCGGTTGCAGTAGAGTCGGGCTGGAACTACGATCCTCACGCTCAGAAAATATAGGGAGCTTCCCCGAATCCCAGCCCTCCCCCTCATGACCAGTCCTTCTTCAGCCAGTAAGAGCCCACCGAGGTGTTTCGAGAACACCAAGATGTTATGCGTAATCCCCATCCTTTCTCAGGGCACACGGCCTCGGGGGGATGGCGCAAACCAGTTCCCAGCTCTCTTTCTCTTCATCAAGTTGTCCTTATTTCCCCCTCCCCATTTCCCATCATGGAACTACCTGCAGGCCGATTGGCCATTTGTTCCCCTCCCGTGCCCCCTCCCTCTCTCTTAGCCTTTGATGGCAGGACTCCAGCAAGGTGCCGAGCCGAAGTTGGCAGACCTGACACTTGGTGAGAAATTCTGGAGACCTACGGCCAGTAAAGTTCGTTGAGGAATGAACTCGCGTGTCGGCCTGACTGAGATCAAAGCCACGCTAAGGGAACCTTTCTGTTCATAACAGCAACGCAAAACCACCACCGAGAGGGTTGACGTGGTTAGAGAAGGGCCGGACGGCCACAAACAATCGCTTCTGCTTTAGGGGGGGAAAAAGTGATGACTCAGGAGGTTTTATCTGTCAGCTGAGCTTCCCACCCCCCAGAGGCTAATGGAGCAGAAAGGAGACAGGCGGGGGGGGGGCGTGAAAGAAGGGAGCAACTGAGTGGACGATAAACCGGCAGCAGCAAATGGCAAGACATACCGCGAAGCTTAAGCACGCTTGCCAGCATTCCTGATTTTCAGCCATCTGCATCCGGATGACCATGTCTGAGCAGAGATCTCCCAGGAGGGCAATGCACCGGCTAAGGGCCGCCTCATTCAGTGGCTTGGAAGAACTCTTGAGATAAAAGGAGGACAGCTCCGTTAGGGCACCCCAATAAGACGTTCGGCCGAGTTCGACAGCGCAGGCAGCGGCGATATTCAAAAAAAAAAAAAAAAATTCCACCGGATGGATCGACTTTTCCAGAGTGTTCAGAAAGTGTTCGTGCTTAGAGAAGAGTCGGGTTTTTGTCGGGCGGGGTTGAGAAATCATCAGGAAAAACAAAACCAATAAAACAAAATGGAGGATAAATAGGGGAAAAGGAAGGAGGATGGGGAAAGCCTTCAGGGGCTCAAAGCAGACTTTGAAATGGATTCTGAGCCGTTTCTCAGGGAAAGAAACCCAAAGGCATGTAATTCTTCCGTGGCAGTGCATGCAGGCCCGGTGAAATTAGACCCAGGACTAAAACCGTACTTCTGAAAGACTCAGAAAGAGTGAGAGAGTCCTATTTCCAACCTCAGCTCCCACAGGAGGAGGTGGGCGAAGAAGAAGGCAGCTCCAGACAATGCAAGGTGGAGAAAGAGATGGGTGACAACCCATCACCAATGTCTTCTCAATCCATCACCGCAATTCTGGGATTGAAGGGTGGTCCAGGAAACACCTAAACTTCCTGTTATCCTTTTTCATAAAACCTCTGTGTATTTTTAGTGCTGGGTCCTTGTTGTGGCCCAACAGATTCGGACAGTGAGGAGGTTGGGGAGGAACATGGGCCAGTCCTGGAGGCTGGGGAAGGCTCTGATGGGTGCTCTGCCTCGGAGGCAGAGATGGGGGCCACGGCCCTCCAACAGCTATCAGCTGCCTTCAGAATTGGAGATCAACGGGGCAGAAGAACAGCTGGAGCCTGTTCCCAGTGTGCACATGCGCAGAGCTGCCAGAAGAAGGGAACAGCTGAGGAACGAGGGCCGACTTGGGAGTAAAGCCTCAGGTGGACGGTGAATGGCCCCTCCACTAGAGTATAAAAGAGGAGCGAAGGGGGAGTGGGGCTTTGCAGGAAATTGGTTCATTCTAGCATGCTTGCCAAGTATTGTGGTGTCTGAAAGATATAGGCCTGGCCCCTTCAAGCCTGATAAAGGTTTGTAATTGGGAACTATCCTGAAAGACTGTTGGCCTGGACTTTGCTGGGGAGGAAATTCATTGTAAATTAAATAAAAGGGGTTTATCGGGACGAGGACTCGGCTTCGTGCTGTTGGGGGAAGCCTAGGTCAGAACAGTCCTTGGGGTATCAGTGAATCAATGCCGAGAAACAGAACCCCAGGTGAACAAATTTCAAGAAGAAAATACGCTTTGCTTACCAGCAACTGAATAAAGATTGGCAAGGCCTCCGTGGACAATTTAATACGACACTGGATTTTGAAGCTGTAAGCAAAGTAAGACAGAGAGTTAAGATGTTTGCGTTCTGGTCTTGAAGAGACTGATGTGGCCACCCAAGATTTAAACCTTGCCTTTTACAATTTTGTACCCATCAGAATTCTATTAAATCTCCATCTGGAGATTTAGCTCCCGAGGAGCCGGAGAATGTCACTCACTTTTCTTCCAGGATTAAATAGGTCAGCAAATTCATAGCGCTGTCAGCTCTGCTGTCAGCAACTTTAACTAAGGATATCAACGTCTGTAGCCACCTGGAAAAGAAAAAGAAGAAGAAAAACCACCACGCGTTCTCCGGGGTCTACAAGAGATCTACCGTTCCAATAAACCGGTCAGAGTAAAATTTAAGGAAAGCGATCGGTTGGTCCCCAGGAAACCTTGCACCAGGGAGCGAGATCTTTATAACGTCCCACGAATTCTGCGGAATACAGATTTGGGCGGCTTGACAGAAACAGGGGGGGCTGTTGGACTCAGTGAGTCCAAACTCCGAGCAGAAATCGTAGAAAACAGCCCCCCTCCTGCCCCCAGGAGAAAAAGCAAAATAGCTCCGATGCCTGCCCAGTGATGCCAACTGGCCTTTAAGGGATGCCCCTTGGGGAACTGGAGAGGGGTGGGTTAAAAGATTCCCTGGGCTCCACAGATAAAATGATATCAGCTGCAGGCTTTTCCACGGAAGTGGGCAAAAGGAAACTGACTCATGAAAATACTTGCTGGCAGCATCAGAAACAAATCCTCTCTCTCTCTCTCTCTCTCTCTTTTTTTTTCCTTTTTAAAAACCAACCTTGATGATTTAACTTAGTCATGCCCTTCATCAGAAAATACGGGTTCTACGGTTTTTCAAAGGGCGGTATTGGGGTGTGGGTAGAAAAGGAGGAGGATAACGGTGGGGACCTCAGAATTATCCTAATTTCCATGGTGTGGATAGATTCTTGCTAACTCAGAAGGGTATTAAAAAAGCAACCATGACAGAAGCTCTAAATCAGGATTGCACAACCGTGCCAACTTTAAGACCCGTGGGCGTCAACTCCCAGAATCCCCCAGCCAGCCACGCTTAGCCCTTTCAATCGAGGTCTTCTAAGTCTCGGTCCGCTCTACTACTCTATTACAGCGGGGATGCCCAACCCTTGGCAAGTTTAAGACCGACGGACTTCAACCCCCAGAATCCCCCAGCCAGGTATATGGTATCGCCCAGCTTTCCATTTAGAGCAGGGGTGTCCAACCTTGGCAACCTAGAACTAAGGAGAAATTTCCTGACAGTGAGAACAATTAACCGGTGGAACTGCTTGCCTCCAGAAGTTGTGGATGCTCCAACACTGGAAGTTTTTAAAAAGAGATTGCATAACCATTTGTCTGAAGTGGTGTAGGGTTTCCTGCCTAGGCAGTGGGTTGGACTAGAAGACCTCCAAGGTCCCTTCCAACTCTGTCATTCTATTCTATTCTATTCTATTCTATTCTATTCTATTGTACATTCT